CTCTTGAATATAAACATGAGCAACTTTTTCCTGAACTCATCTCCTCGGGCAAGGGTAACAAAATAAAAAATGAACAAATGGGCCTATATCATGCTAAAAAGCTTCTGTACAGCAAAAAACACTATCAGAGGAACAAAAAGACATCCTACAGTATGGGAGAATATATTTGTAAATGACATATCTGACAAGGGGTTAATACCCAAAATATATAAAGAACTCATACACCTCAACACCCAAAAAGCAAAGAACCCTATTAAAAAATGGGTGGAGGACATGAACAGACAATTCTCCAAAGAAGAAATTCAGATGGCCAACAGGCATATGAAAAGATGCTCCCCATTGCTAATTATCAGAGAAATTCAAATTAAAACCACAATGAGATATCACCTTACACCAGTTAGGATGGCCAACATAGAAAAGAATAGGAACAACAAATGCTGGCGAGGATGTGGAGAAAGGGGAACTCTCCTACACTGCTGGTGGGAATGTAAATTAGTTCAACCATTTTGGAAAGCAGTATGGAGGTTCCCCAAAAAGCTCAAAATAGAAATGCCATTTGACCCAGAAATTCCACTTCTAGGAATTTACCCTAAGAATGCAGTTTCTCAGTCTCAAAAAGACATATCCACCCCTATGTTTATCACAGCACTATTTACAATAGCCAAGAAATGGAAGCAACCTAAGTGTCCATCAGTAGATGAATGGATAAAGAAGATGTGGTACATATACACAATGGAATATTATTCAGCCATAAGAAGAAAACAAATACTACCATTTGCAACAACATGGATGGAGCTAGAGGGTATTATGCTCACTGAAATAAGCCAGGTGGAGAAAGACAAGTACCAAATGATTTCACTCATCTGTGGAGCATAAGAACAAAGCAAAAACTGAAAGAACAAAACAGCAGCAGACTCACAGAACCCAAGAATGGACTAACAGTTGACAAAGGGAAAGGGACTGCGGCGTGGTGGGTGGGAAGGGAGGGAGAAGGGGAATAAGGGGCTTTACGATTAGCACACATAATGTAGTGGGAGGGCACAGGGAAGGCAGTATAGCACAGAGAAGACAGGTAGTGACTCTATAGCATCTTAGTATGCTGATGGACAGTGACTGTAATGGGGTATGTGGTGGGGACTTAATAAAGGGGGAATCTAGTAACCACAAGGTTGCTCATGTAATTCTATGTTAATGATACCAAATTTTAAAAAAATAAGAAAAAGAGGAACAGTGGGCCTGAATAGACTATTTTCAAAAGAACACATCCAGCTGGCCCACAGACACATGAAAATCAGGGATGCTCAACATCACTAATCATCAGGGAAATGCAACTCCAAACAGCAGCATGATGTCACCTCATGTGGCTATTATCAAAAAGATGAGAAACATCAAGGGTTGGAGAGGCTGTGGAGAAAAGGGAACCCTTGTGCACTGTTGGTAGAAATGTAAATTGATGGAGACACTATGGAAAACAGTATGGAGGTTCCTAACAAAACTGAAAATAGGAATACTCTGTAATCTAGAAATTCTACTTCTGAGTATTTACCCCAAGAAAAGAAAAATGCTAATTTAAAAAGACATATACACCCCTATGTTTATTGCAGCATTGTTTACAATAGCTAAGATAGGAAAGCAACCTAAGTGTCCATCAATGGACAAATGCATAAAGATGTCATATGTCTGTCTATCTATATGAGATATATATTCTATTATATTTATATAATATTCTATAGAATATTACTCAGCCATAGAAAATAATGAAATCTTGCCATTTGTGACAACATGATAAAAACTAGAGGGTATTATGCAAGAGAAAGACAAATATCAGATGTTTTCACTTACATGTGGAATCTAAAAACAAAACAAGCAAGCAAACAAACAAACAAAAACCAGAAATAGACTCATAAATACAGAGAACAAACTGGTGGTTGCCTGAGGAGAGAGGGGTGTGAGATTGGTGAAATAAGTGAAGGGAATAAAGGGGTACAAAATTCCAATTATAATATAGTCACAGGGATGAATAGTACAGCATAGGGAATATACTCAATAATATTGTAGTAACTTTATATGATAACAGATAGTAGCTACACTTTTTGTGGTAAGCATTTTGTAATATATGAAATCGTTGAACCACTATGTTGCACACTTGAAACCAATATAATTTTGTATGCCAATTAAAAAAAAAGAAGCACTTGCAGTAAAAGCAGTTCTGCCTTTTGGACTATCTGATCCAGCAGACTCCATGGTCCTCAAGGTGTCTGGGAAGAAAGGGATGCTGACTAGAGTCTCTGGCAAGTCCCAAAGAATTCAGCAGACTTCTGGGGTTCTGGAGCAAGGCAGAGAACTATACACCCTTTGAAAGATATCCCTTGACATGTTACTGGGCACTGGTAGAGAGAGAGCATCTAAACATTGAATAATTACCAATTGAGTATATGCTGAACTGCCTATCATTAGCTGAGTTCTATCAGCTCCACCAAGATACAAGGTCAGACAATCCAGCAATAATTCACTATAGAATAGAAGTGGTACATCCTAGATTAGGCTTGAGCTGGTTTGGAGGACACAAATAAGCTGGTGGCCCCAACGTCTGTGTCACCTAGTACTGTGCACTGATGTCTTTCCCTCAGCTCACATCTGTTGCCACAGTGGGGATTTCTTATGATCAGCTGATGGAAGAAACCCAAGATGAATTAGGTATATTGACACAAGACGAAAATGGACTGTTGCTGCTCTATAGACTCTCTTGTGGCCCGGAAAGATGTGGTGAGGGAGACCCTTTGATGCGCAGAGCTTCACCATCAGGTATGGTCATCTGCTCTGTGTAGAAAGAGTGTGGCTCAAGGAAAGAATATACATGGATTCTGGGAAGTGACAGATGACTTGGCTAGATTTTAAGAAAAGCATAGAACAAGAAGGAGACAAGAAGTTCTAGGGATGAGATGTGTGGATGAACCAATGGGAGTGGTCATAAAGCGTGAAGATCTTTGCATTGCATGTGGACACACACCAAGAGCCATGGCAGCAGGAGTTCTTAACCACCAAACAGATAGGATGACTTGGTCAGTGGATGTCCACCTCTGCCTTTGGCTTTCCTGGTACATGAGCAAAGGGCTTATGAATGGAGCAGTCATGAAGGCAGAGATGGAGGCTATGCATGGGCCCAACATCATGGACTTTGTCTCACTAAGGCTGATATAGCTACTGCTGCTGTTGAAAGTAAGATCTGTTGACTCAATGAAGCTGAGCTTCTCAGCAGACCAGAAAGGCACGGTGGTGTAAGTTATATAGGTCTCTTCCCTTCCTAAAGAGAGCAATGGTTCAGGCTCACTGAGACTGATGCATATTCTGGACATGGATTTGTCCTTTCTGTCTACAAGACCTTGGCCATTACACTATACAAGGGCTCAGACAGAGTCTGATTCACTAACACGGGATTGCACATAACACATCTTTAGACCAAAGACTCACTTTAGAGCAAAGGAGGTGAGGCAGTGGGCACATGACCATGCGATTACTGATTCTACCCCATGCCACACTATTCAAAAATTACCAACAGGATAGGATAGTGGAAAAGCATTTTAACAAAGCAACTAAGCCACCAGCTTGAACATGACACCCTGTGTGGATGGGGTGCTATTTCAGGATGCAGTAGACTTTTTAGACTAATGCTGTTATATGCGCGATACCCTTAAGAGGTAAATACAGGGCTCCAGGCCATAGATGTGGCTTTGTTCTCCAGTAGTTTCACTATCATGACTCATTTGGGAAATTGTGTTTTCCATCCATACAGTCTTAGATAGCCTGATTCATAGAGGAGGCTGCTTACACCAAGAAACACAGTGAGGGTCCCAGTAAACATAAAGCTGTGGCTGCCCCTCTGGTCACTTGGTCTCCATATGTCAGTAGCTAAATGGGCAAAGAAAACTTTGCTACAGTAGGAAGAGCCATTGATCTCGATCATCACGAGGGAAGTGGACTGTCATCACATACAGAGGTCAGGGAGGCATGGCTTTGGCATTTCGAGGGTCCTGCTGCCGTGTCTCTTGGTGTTCTCAGGCTCAGTTTAAATTGAAGTTGGGTAAGTATAGCAACCATGGCCTGATCATGGCATGGTCAGAAGGGCTTAGCTCCTGCATGAACACCACCCCGAGCCAGAGTGCTACCCAAAGGTAGGTGAACCTCGACGGGATGGTGGAGCAGGGAAATGATGATGATCAAGTATGGCCTTGCGGCCAGTACAGCAGTGGGGGCTGTGGTCCATTCCACTGACCATCTCCCTGAAAGGTCCTCTTAGGGACTGTGTCCCAAAATCCTGGACAAGCCATGTCTGGGGTGAGTGAACCTAATGTGAGAAGCAAGTGGGCGTGAACAGTGGAAGGGGTGGACGGTGGTGGGTCTGTGGTGTTCTGCTCAGATCCAGTTTCCAGGCCCTGAATGTCCCAGCTGCTGTGCGTGTCTGCTGATCACAGCTGCCAGTAATCTTTTTCTCCAAAACATTTCCCTCAGCTGATAGGAACAGCCTTGTGAAGATTTGCACTGCCTTCCAGCATGGAATGTCCCACACGCAATGACTGACTAATCTTTTGCATCAAGTGATCAAGTGTGTGTGGGTAACTCTGGAGTTCTGTTATGCTCTAGAACTCCCACCACTCCCTACCATGGATCAGGCCAAGGCTGGACTGTACCTGAAACAACAGCCTTTCTTAGCACTTTGCCTTACCTCCAGGCTTCCCTCCCTCCCTCCCTCACCAGCTTTTCCTGTAAGGCACTACATCAACAAATCTTGAGCACCTGAGTCTGATTTTCTCTGATTTTCTCCCTCATTTGGTGCAGGGGCCTGGGGAGAAGGCATTCTGTTCACTATTCTATGAACAAAACTATGAACTCTCACGAATGGAGCCCCCAGCTGGCAGATTACCATTGAAAGCAACATTTACCCAGGCCCACCTCTTATTTTTATGTTTTAGAAAAGCACATTGAAATATACAGCTTGCTGAACTTTAATGAGAAAATGGCAGAATGGAAGAGAAAGGATATAGGTGTCACATAGTCTTCTGTAACTCAGCCCAGAAACAACCATCACACTTTCATTTCTATTTCATAGGCAGAACTTGTTACATGGCCCACCTGTAGGAGGAGGGATGGACAAGGGTTAGATTAGGAATCTGTACAGCAATCAACACACATTTGGCAAAGTCTTTTTTTTCCCTACTGAGTTTTCTGGTATCAATTTCTCTCCTTTCCCTGAGTGTCGGTGGCCACCTCAAACCATTCCAAACAAGCAATGCAGAAGAGGAGAGAGATTTTTGTCTTCAGTGTGTTTGTTACAATGACAAATTAGGAAGAACTTGATTGATGTGATTTGGGCTAAATACCACTAAATGAGAGTAAAGTCACTTTGACTATACTTCAAGGTTTAATTTGAAACAAAATGGTAGCTCATAAACATTCTATTAGGCACATTTTCTGCAATTTTTTAACAATTTGCAATAAAATTTTGCATGTGGATAGAGCCTATAAGGACACATGATTATACCAAGAGAAGTGCACAGTTTAGAGAATCACTGGGTGCTACCAGGAAAAATAAAAAAATTTACAGTTCCTTTGATATTAAGGCACATTGTCATAATGACTGCCATTACTGGCTTTGGGGCCACATTCCATAATGAGCCTTTTTTGGGACCTAGTGTTGGCTAGAAGTGCCAGAGAAACTGTTTCTATTAATGAATGTGTAGTTCTCATCTGTAACAATGACAATTCTGTATTATTCTGTGAATAAAATTCTGCTGAATTCACGGACAGGTGACATTGTGTGGGCACTAATGTATATAGAACTCTCTGTTGTAATAAGGCTGCTATTATCTTTAACACAATAATACTGAATGTGCCCTGGACTTACCAGCTGGTGCTACTAGCTAAGATTGGACTTAACTCTTTGGGGTCTAATTTAGGTGGCAACTTACAGCCCTATGTGTGATTTCCAACCTCTGAAATTCCCATTCTTGTTTTTATTTTATTTTTTTCTTGCTTTCACTGTCCCTTCCCTTCTTGTGTGTTTCTGTAATGACCTCTTTTGCATCCAAATTCTTCTTTAATGGAAATACACATAAATCCCCTTTGTCAGAGAAGGCTGTTGGCTTTCATTGTCATTCCTGGGGTCTGGGGCAGATGCATCCTTGTGCTGTGTCTCCCATCCCACCCCCTAGCCTTTGCATCAAGTGATCAAGTTTGTGGGGGGGGGGGTGTAACTCGGGAGTTCTGCAAATGGCAGTATCATTTCTTTCAAAATAACGCATTCTCTAAGCAGCAGTGGCTGCTTTGGGCTGAAAAGGGACATTAAACATCACCAGCATTTGGTCCACACAGTATGCTGGTCCAACAGAGGGCTTTGCGAGGCAGGAAGAAGGTCCTGGGTCTTGTTGGCCTGCTCATAAATGGCACCCAAGGGCACACTTGCACACAAATTAGACGCTTTCCAGTCACGGAGGGGAGAGGCCGATCTGGGCTTGTGCACGGTACTCCTAGGAGCAATTTCATTTTCCTCCATTATCTGCCTGCGGATGAACCACTTAGGGATTGTTTGGGGAGGGCAGAGCCTTGGTCCATGTGGCCTTTGCACCATCACTGGTTTCCTCCCTCGCCGTGGGTGCCCGCATGTGGCCTGCAGCTCTGCACTGGCAGGAGGAGAATCAGGAAGGAGAGTCTACCACATCCCTGGGCAGCTATTTCTGTCAGCTGAAAAGGCCATTTAAGCAAAACACTTAATTACCTTTCCTCCTTCCTGCAACCCCTGGGAAAGTATGAGCCAGTTGGATAATGAGCTTAGAGAGAACAAGCAGCTTGGTGAGGGCTGAGACTCCATCAGGCTGAGGAGTGACCGCATCCAATCTATCATGAAATGGGGAGCAGCGGAAAGAGCCAGAGGGTGGTATAAACAGGCTCCTCTGCAGCATCCCTTCATGATGTCACCCGTCACGTTGGAAATTCCTAGAACATTGAAGGCTTCTAATTCTCAGGTAAAGCTACCAGGCCTGGCCTGCGATTAGCCAGTCTTCTGAAGTGGAGGACTTTGGACAGCATGGTTTTGTGTAGAGAGCCCTTGGCTGAGCATCTCCCCAGTGTGGTGACCGCAAGCTCATGCCACCCTCTGGGGCTCAGGTTCTGACTGATGAAATTGAGAACATTGGACTTGAAGGACTTGCTACGGTAGCTTTAAATTCTATAATGTTAAAAAAAAGTTGTTTCAGGTGTAGGGGAGTTGGGCAGATGGGGGTGTCCTTGCAGCTAGTGGCCTGGCACCAGCTGGGGATGCAGAGTGGTGGCATCCCTGAAGGTGCAGGCCAGGCTGGAGGCACTGCTCCCCTGACGTTGCCAGAGCCAGTAACCAGGGGCCTGCCTGAAGAGGCACAGCCTGCCAAATGAGAGACATAAAGAGGTGAGCATGGGGAAGGGACGGTGCTGGCCTGAACAGAGAGCCTGGCGTCTTTAAAGAGTGCACATCAGCCCCGACTGGAGAGGATGACAAATGGCCTGCCTCTGTGGTTGAGCTCACTGGGTGTTGTGTTTTGGCTTATATCCATTTTTGCCTCAGTGTGTCTCATGAATTCTGTCCCCTTGTTTTCTCTGCTTGGACCTGGCATCTGCCTGTGCCAACCCAATGAAGGACTGAGGCCACGCAGCTTCCCGCCCACTGTGTCAGCCCCACTGCCTGGCCCTGTCTGGCCACCACCCACTGGGTCATGTCTCACAGCTGGAACATCATAGCCACCCACATTTTCCCCACTGCCCACCCTCCTGCCCATCTGCCTGCCCTGGGGTCTGGCCTCACCTTTCCTGGCAGTAACTGCTCTGCCTCTGGTCCTTGCATGCATACTGCTGGTGAGGGAGACTCCGAGGTGAGACAAGAGGGGGACTGAAGACCACCACACTCCATGGGAGCCAGCCTGGGGGACTGCAAAAGTCACTCCATTTCATTGACTCTCTAAATCACTGAGGGTCTATCTCCCAGCACTGGGTGCTGGAGGCGCAGAGGGTGCATTTCCCTCTGCAGAGTCTAGAGGTGGGCAAACAGGGATGAAAATTAGTAAGCAAAAATTTAAATTAAATAAATAAGTAAAAAAATTCTTATAAAGAGTAAATGTATCAGAACAGAATGACTACTATGGAGAAAAAGTAGTGAAGGAAGACAGGAAGAGCCAGGGTCAGGAAGGGGCTTATGGTTTTAGATCACGTGGTCAGAGAAGGTCTCACGGAGGAGGGAGGCTTGATTAAAAGTCTGAGGGACATGAGGGAGGAAGCCATGTAGATATCAGGGGAAAGAGGACTCCAGACAAAGGGTGTAGCAAGAACAAAGGCCTGGAGGCACAGTTGTGCTTAATGAGTGCGGGGCATGGCTGGGGCTGCTGGAGGAGGTTAGGACAGAGGTCATATCAGAGAGGAAATGGGGATGGGGTTGTAGGGAGATGGTATAGGGCTTCGCGGACCACTGTATGAGTTGTACGAGGGTCACCTCTGGGTATTTGCCAGAGGAAGGACTATCTGAGTATGTTCAGAGGCTCCCTCTGACCGCCGAGATGAGAGAACACCAACAGGAGACCACAGGTGAGAAGGTTGCCCAGTTACGGCAACAGTGACCCATACTGGGAGACATGGTATGACTCAGCCCAGGCTGGCAGTGGTGGAGGAGGTAAGAAATAATCACAGTCTCAGGTGAAAGGTGAAAGGTGGAATGGCATGAGTTACCAGTAACCTGGATGTAGCAGATGAGAAGAAGTGTGAAACCCAAGATTTTTCTGCAAGTCTTGGTCTGAGCAACTGTAAAAATGGAGCAATTTTATCATTAACGACAAGGAGAAGGGGCTGGGGGAGCAGTTCGGGGTGGGGCCGGTCGGGAGCTAAGTGTTGGGTGGGTTTATTTGAGATGCCTATCCACTATCCAAGTGGAGGAGGACTCCAGGGCTGTCAGGAACTCAGGGGAAGACAGTAATCAGATGTAAATTTGGTGTCCACAGCAAATAGATGGTATTTAAGGCCAATGGACAGAACAAGATTACCCATGGGGTGCAGAGAGAAGACAGCAGAGAGAGATAAAGGTCTGAGCCTGGGACTCCAGTATGAGTCCAGGGAAGGCCAAAAAAATGACAATAGGAGAGAAAGTTTTAGTTAAGAGGAGAACAAGGAGAATGGGGTGTGCCAGAGAGCATATGCAGCGTTTCAAGGAGGAGGGAGTTAGCCACGTCAAGACAAGGCCTAAAGATGACAACAGCAAAGTGGAGGCTACTGGAGAGCCGTGTTTTCTGCCAAGAACACTATTCAGTATGCTTTGAGGGTGGCTCCTGGCCTTTTCCTTAGCCACAGGGGCGGGCTTGTGGACCCAGGTCTGGCCAGTTGTAGTGCTTGGTTCAGAGATGAGCACATGGCCCAGATGGGCCGATTAAACTCTCTCCAGACATTTTCTCCTGGAGCTGTCAGGATAGACTTGGCTCCTTCCCCTGAGGTTGCTAAGTGTTGGGATTCAAGTCATGACCTCCTGCGGACATCAGCCTGCTGGGTGGGCTCACTCTCTAAAGATGGAGAGAGACAGAACCCTGACAATAGCACCAATCCAGCTCTGGGTGCAGCTCTGCCTGCAGCCTGCTACTCCCTTGGACTCCATTTCTGTCCCAGCCAATAACCTGTGCTGGGCTAGTTTGGATCATCCTTTGCTCGTGGGCATCCCCAAGTACATGTAGGGAGTTTTCCCTGATGGCTGCTCCTCAACAGTGGAGAAAGCACGAGGAAGGCGTGTTGCTGACTCACCGGTCAAGCAAAGAGTGACCAAATAGGGCTCTGAGTCAGAGACACTGGCAATCCTTGCCATGCAGTCCTCTAAATGAACCTTACTAAGCAAATCCTGGGTTCAGGACTATTCTTAGCTGCCTAGAATTGCAAGAAAGAGGCCAGCCTGGGCAGGACAAAACAGGGTCACCTCCCTATCTCCTCTTGTAGCAGCCTCTGACGCAGGTCTGAAATCTGGGGCAGGTAAGGTTGCAACCAGAGAAGCTGGATGAGGGCATCAGGTTCCGTCTGTGACCCAAGAGGTGACATCCTGTGGGGCCGCCAGGGCTTGGTACTGGGAGTTCCAAGTTAGTGTGAAAGCAAGTGTGGGGGGACTGCTGTGGGCTTAGAGGAGGACAGGTTCAGCATCTGGGGAATGCAGATGAAGTAATGGGAGACCAGGGCATGGGAGCAGTTGCTAAAACAAACTGACTAATTTCCTGGATGAGGTTTCTCTGGCTTTGAGCTGTTTTTAAAGGGCCAGCCACACTCAAATGCAGTGTCTTCAAGACCCATGGAGCAGAGCACAAGTCCACTCATGCTGGCTTTGGGCTGTGAAGATTCAGTATGCATCTTCTCAGTGTGGAAAGGAAATCAATTTGTTTCTCTTTTTCTTCTGAGTCCATGGACAGAGAGGTTGTTCAGCCATCTGTTGCCCTCCCTTAGCTGGGCAGATGCATGAGTGTACCTGGAAAAGCTTTTATCTTCTCACCCAGCAGTCCCACTAATGTAAATAGTGATAATCCCTGGTTACCTACACTGCATACGCCAGTTAAGACTCCAGAGAGCTCTGTGATATCTATGTACCAAAGGTCCAAAGGTCTTGGTATAAATCCCTCCCATCTCAAATGGTTACCTCATTGCTTGCTTCTATTGCAGGATTTCTTCTGTTTTTGGAGAAGCCACACCTTTCATACCAACCCTTTCATCATCCAACTATGGTTGAGACTTCCTTCCAATCACATACTTTATTCCTCTTGTGGAATATGAAGGCTACCAATTCAATAAACCTCATTAATTGTAGTGCCACACATTTGGAATTTGTAGTATTTGACAGAAGCTGAAATGAAATTTACTTATTGCTCTGATAATCATTGAAAATGCACATGTCTGGAGTAAACACATTTGTAGGAAGGGTGAATTTAAAGTGTTTAAGAGAGGAACTTTTAAATACCCTCAAGCACTTTAAAATGTCATAGTGCACCCAAATGACTGATGCCAGGTACATATCATCTTCTGTAGTCACAAAAAGTGGGTCTTTGAAGATTTCTGGAAAGCAGTGGCTGTTCAGCCTACTTTTATTTACTGCAATAAAACTACATAAAAGCCCTGTCATTCGCCCTTCTCACTAATTTACTTTCATCTTCTCCCCCAGTCGGTCTGAAAATGCACATTTTACTTTATGACTATCTTCAGTGAGGTATATTCTTGATGCCACAATTGAATTCTGCTAGCTGCTAAAACAAAAATTCCCACATCGTAGCGGCTGATATTTCTGGTTGGGTAACAGTCCTCCATGATGTGAGTCAAGGGCTTGGCTTCTTCTATAACGTGGCTTTGCCAGGTTCAACATGCGGCTCCCAAGACAGGCCTAGGAGCCAACTTTTCTAGCCATCTGGGAGGGGGAAAGTGCATGGAGGATCATACACAGCTCTACAGTCCAGACCTGGGATTCTCATCCTTTTCTGTGAACCAGAGCCGCACTGATATAGAGCTGTGGCCACATGTCCCTGCAAGGAAGACTGAGAAGTGTAGTTGACATATAATAAACATATTGTTTCTGCTTTCTATAGTTACAATCAAGAGGGTTTTGACTCTGACAGGGCCTAGGCTCTCACCCCAAAAGTACTCAAGAATACTCTCTGGGGCAGGCCTCATGATATGGAGTAAATTTTTTACATGAAATTAATTTCCTTTATTTGCTATTCTATTTTTATCTCACTGGCTTCTAGGCTGGAATTAAACATCTTAAAATGTTCTATAATAACACCTCAAAAAACTGAAAAAGGGAAGAGCCTGGCAAAGGAATAACCCTATTTTCTTATAAATGATCTGAAAATAAGAGGCTCCACACCAAAATACTCCAGCAGTCTGAGCGGATGGGACCCAGCTCCTGCTCTTGCTTTTACACTCCATCTCTCACTCTCCGTGAGACCTGGGTATCACTTGTCACTGATTACCCAGCTCTCTTAATTTGGGACGTTGAACCTGGTGCAGCAGGGACCCACCTCAAATTCCCTGCTGGAGAGTTAACTCCCACCCTTGGAGAGATAAATCTCCAGCCCACCACATAGTAGCTGTGAAGTTTCAGCAACTTATCTAAACTTCCAGAGGTTTAATTGTTCTGTAAATTATTCTCCCTGTTCCCTTATTCTGCAACAATGTGGTTAATAATCCCCATCGCATAGGGCACTGTAGGGGCTCCTTGAATTTTGAAGGCGTGATCACCTAGCATGGTGCCTGACACCATCAATCACTATGCCGCCTTGCTGTCTTCCCCCACGCAAGCAAAGGTGAAACACAAGGGCCTCATGGGAAGGTGGTGCCTCTGTGCTGCGGCTCCTCTGCTGCCCAGCTGGCGTCACCAGGATTCAATTGCAGCCGTGGTTCTTTGCATTCAGGCAGAAATCAGGGGACTGGGGGTGAGGAGGGAGTAGGAGGCAGACAAAGGAGCAATTACCCCCACATGACTGCTTACTAAGAATACTGGCTGGAGAAAAGGCTTTTCTGCAGTTTGGTTTTGCAAATTCTGCTCCAAGTACCCAAGAGGTAAAACCTTCAGTCCACAGGATAACCCAGATTTCATTGTCCCAGTATAATTCCATTTTACTAACCTCTGGCATTTTCTATGCTCCTCCTCTTCTCTTGAGTATTTCCTTGATTCATCAGCAGCTAGGTACTCCAGTTAACACAATTTCCACTGATCAAGCCAGGCTAACCTTAGCATTCCTCACAGACACATACACAGACACACACACAGACACACACACACACACACACACACACACACACACACACACACACACAC